AGGAGAAGGAGGATGAAGGAAGTAGGAGGAGGAGGTGGATGAGGAAGGAAGTAGGAGGAAGGAAGGAGGGGAGGATGGGGAGGAGGAGGAAGGAGGGGGAGGGGAAGGTGAAAGAGGCATTAAGAGGACCATGCCTGTCTAGTGCTATCCCTGGACATCCAACGTCGTCCAGAACGTCGTGCGGGTCCCCTTGAAGGTGTCCTCATATGATTGCGGGAGTTCACGCTGTGATGATAAACCACGTCAGATGTCCAGGTGGCCAGGACCATCCCGGGCCAGATATCCAACATGATGGTGTACTGACCCTGCTGGCGTAGACCAGCAGGGAGGGGCTAGATGATATACACGTTGTGAGTGTGACCACGCCACGGCTACAGGCCTCGGAAGAAAATAGCGAACGCTCATGCCAAATTCATATGTCAACGCCTCCCCCTCCTTCCAATGTTCAAAGTTGGCGGTGGGTCTGATGAGTTGCACCTCGACCGCAGTCTCCCCCGCGCCTGCCAACTTGAGTTTGGGGGAGAGGAGGAATGTTCAGTAATTGTTTTCCTCTACCGTACCACCACCACCATGCCTGGCCAGGGCCACCCCTGGGCCCAAGATGATCGTGCATTGGCTCTCCTGGCGTCGGCGGGGAAGGAACAGTTTTCGGAGCGAGGGTGTCGTTACGGGAGTTGTTTCATACAGTGAGGGCCCATGCCAAGAAAATGCCTCCAGGGTGCCCTGGTTTTTTGCGGGGGTTCGACGGTTTTGCTAACGGAGGCGCGATTTTCCCACACCAAAAATCCATGGACGTCCTGGGGTCTCAGGGTTGGGTTTCTTGTGGAAGGTTTCTTGTGGACTGGCCTCCACTGTATCCCTGCGCGCGTGCGTGGCCGTTGTGGAGCGGTAGGTGCTGGGCGAGGGCTTTGCAAGAGGAGTCGAGCCTTCCTTCCCTCTCCCTTCGAAAAGGGGATCGGCGACGGAATCGATTCACCCCCAAATTGATGTGTCCGTCGAATCTACGACAAATATGCGTAGTGTGCTCCGTCGATCTACAGAACATTCTAGTATTACGAAGGCCTTACGGCCAGTGCCGCCGACCCTGAAGTGGGGACGACGACGACGACGACGACGCTGACGTGGGCCAGAGGGATACTTCTTGGGGTCTCTACGGAAGGCTCTCGGGGGCCTCGGGAGGAATTCTGGGGCCTCTTGGGAGCCTCTTTCTTGGGGGCCTTTTGGGAGCCTCTTGGGGCCTCTCTTCGGGCTTCGTGGGAACCTCTTGGGAACCTACCTCTTGGGGCCTCCTGGGAGCCTCTCGGGGTCGAGGGCTTGACATGTTCGTTCGGATCCCCCTCTGGTTGCTCTGGAGATCTACAGAACACTCTACGTATTATTCGTAGAGTCGACGGGACTATTCTCTCTCTCTCTCTCTCTCTCTCTCACGTGCGCCTGCACCCTCACGCTTGCCTGCACCTGCGCGGAGGACTCGGCATGCACCGTGCCAGGGCGGAGGGCCCTGGCCAGGCCTGGCCCGACGTGGACAGCGTGTCGCTCCGCCAGCTCTGGCCCACCACGCTTCGGCGTGACCTCCCTGTCCTCCTCCTCCTCCTCCTCCCCCTCCTCCTCCTCCTCCTCCTCCTTCTCCTCCTCCTCCTCCTCCTCCTCCTCCTTTGGGCCCCATCAAGGCTAACAGCCTCGAGGGACCTCCTCCTCCTCCTCGTCGCGGTCCCCAGGCGTCGAAGTCCCGAGCTTTTCGGAGCATCCCGCCCCGCAGACCGGAGCGACACGCTATCCGATCGCAGGGCATAGCGCGTCGTTAGGGCCGCGACCGCGGCGCGCTAAGCAAATGTTCCTGACCGTAGGAGGGTTACTATCATGGCGGGGGCGAGTGCCATGTTCCCGTCCAGAATCATTGTTTGACTATCTCGGGGTCCGCCGAGGGCCCCAGCAAGCCGAAAACGGACCAGAATTGGCCATTTCGATTATTGGTCGGAGCCTCGGACCTCTGTCACCAGCCTGAAACACATCTCTATCCTCATGATTGGCATCCCCTCATCTCCAGGCCGATCCTAAAGATGTCATCCGTTCCTGAGGGCGCACCCCTAAGACTGTCGTCGCATTTGGGCTTGCCAATCTTAGGGATGGGGATATCCTCGAGGCTGGTCACGAGCCACCTGGGACCGAGCACTCCGGGGGGCCCACCCGTCCAGCAGCGGGGGGCCCCGCCCAGCCCGATCTTCCGATCGGCGGATCCGGTGGTCGGGGGGCCCGAAACGATGTGGTGACCACGCCGCCTGGTGAGTCAGTGGGGATCCGGGAGCACTGCGCGATGTGGGGGCTCGGGTCGTTCTCCGAGGACGTCTCGCACGACCGGGGCCTCCGGGGTCCCAGGGTCCGCGCGGTGACGGACCGCGCGGTGAGGTCGTTGGGGGTTCTGCGGTCACCGCGCGGTCCGTCACCGCACGGTCCTGGGGGCCCAGGAGCCGAGCGCTCGGGGGTCCGCTCGTCCGTGGTTAAGTACGGGGCTGGCAGATAGACACCACCACCACCACCTCCCTCGCCCCCTCCCTCGCCCGCCACGGAGGAGAGAAGGATGAGAGAAGAGGCATGGAGGAGGAATGGAGGAGGTGGTGGTGGTGTCTGTTCTTGGGGCCCTTCGTGGTCGCGACCCTTCCCGAGGTACGTTTTCGGAGGTTTTTTCGTCGGCTCTCGGCGGCCTCGGGCGGTGCCGCTCCGCCCTCGGCGAAGCCTCCGGCCTCGGGGTTTGCCGTCAGGCCGTGCAGCGCCCCGCTCGGAGCGCTTCTCGCTCGTCCCGGGCGTTCGCCAGAGGCCCGAGCTTTTGGTCGGGGGCGGCAAAGAGGCCCAGACACGATCGCGTCGTAAAAAACAATCCGGACGGGAGGTCTTTGGCCAATTTCGGCCTCGGGGGGCCCTCGCTGAGTCTCGGGGCCGTCAAAAAACAACTCAGGATGAAAAACTAGCCCCGGGGAAAGGGTCTGGACTTCCACGGACGCCGTCCTGAAAAATCAGGACGTCGCATTTGTGGGGGTTGTGACTAGGGGGGATATCATGGCGGGGGCCATGATATCTCCCCAGATTTCAGGGCGCCGCTTCTTATTTCAATGCGTCACTGGCCCCCCCCCTGGGCCGCGCACATGCCGCTGGCCATGTTTTGCGCCCCCTCCCCTCTTGGACGCCCCCTTCTTGGCCGCCCCCGGGTAGCGGTGTTGGTACTTTTTGGTTTCCCCAGTCGCATGGCTATCGAGTGGCCTCTGACGGAACTGGCTCGCGGGCTCCTCAAGGGGGTCTGCCCGTTTCGGGGAGCGCTCATGCCGTCTGGGTGTGCCGCGCTGCCCCCCCCCCCCCCCCCCTGGGTCGCGCACATGCCGCCGGCCATAATTTGCGCCCCCCCCTCTCGGACGCCCCCCTCTTGGCCGCCCCCGATTTTGACACGACCACCGGAGGGGGGGGAGGCCCTGAGATCCGGGCGCTGCTGTGGTTTCACTATCTGCGATTTCGTCCCGTTTCGGACCCCGGGGCCCTCGCGAATCGATCCGGCTCGAATCTTGGCGCGCATCGACGGTGCTTACATCGGACAGGGCTGGGACGAGGATATATCCGTTCCAGAGCGTTCCGGAACGGCGCCCGAGACATCCTCCAGAACCGCCAGATCTCGGAGATTCTCGATTTAGCCTCACCCGAGTTTATCCTCGTCCTGGCTTCGCCTTAGTCTAGAGCTCCAGTCGCGATCTGTCGCGATGTTGCAATTTTGTGCGCGACGTCGGACCTCAGGGTCCACGCATACCTGCGTGGACAAGGTGTCTCACCACTCTCGGTCTCCATGGGGCCCCCTTCCCGGATCACGGGAAGATTGGGAAGCAGCGCGGGATGCAGATCTGGGGCCTTCGGAAAGTTTCGGGTCCACGAATCAGTTTCCTCTGGACGTTTTGTTCCGGATGCCAAGGGTGGCAGTCCTTCGGTCACGATGGCAGGGTAGGCGCTGACGACACCGACGCCGTCCGAGTGATCGGCAGCCGCGAGCTCCTTCCGACAGGCGACGTGGCATTCCTGATTTCTCTTGAATCAACTGCGCAGTCACCCGCCACAGGACTCGTCATCATCATGGGTGACGCCACTCTCGTCATCGCCCTCGTCCTCGCTCACATCTTCACCACCCTCGTCCGTCCTTCATCGCCAGCTTCCGCCTTGATTGACAACATCTGCCCTCATCACCAACATCCGTCGTTTCTCTTCGTTCGGCATCTTCATCACCCTCATCGGCCTCATCCGCCAGTGATCCTCAACTCATTGCCCTCATCGTAATAAAGCACCCGCATCTTCATCGCTTTCATCGCCTAAGCTACAGGTTCGGCCTCATCGCCATTTTCGCTCTCATCCCCAGCGCCACTCTCATCATCTCCTCTCTTCCGCCGTCTGCACATGTCGCCGCGCCCTCTGCTCCGACGCGCGGCGCTACGTCTTGGGGGGCGCGCCTCGACCACCAGGTCAATTTCCGCCTCAGGCGCTGGGCTTGTCCTGAGTCTGCCGCGGTGTCGACTTCGTCTACTTGGGAGCCTTCAGGGCAAACTGCGCGGCGACATCTATTCTGTCACCATCATCACCAGCATCATCATCACCATCAGCATCATCATCATCACCATCATCATCACCACCATCATCATCACCACCATCACCAGCATCATCATCATCATCACCACCATCACCATCCCCATCTTCTCGGGGGCGGACAGAACCCCCAACAGTGACACGTCGATTAGTGAATTGTCCGTTTTCGGTTCTCGAGATGGCGCCGCGGCCGTTATTTTCCAGGCTTGCGCCCGCCAGGTTTGGGCCTCAGGTCGTTTTCACTAAACCACGTTTTACTAAAGGGGGTTCTGTCCATCCCCGATCTTCATCATCATCATCATCATCCTCATCATCCTCCCCCTCCTCCTCCTCCTCATCATCATCATCATCATCATCATCATCAGCATCATCATCATCACAGCAACAACAGCTCCGGCCCGAACCGGCCACGCGCGGCCGAATGCCTCCGCGGCGCCTGCCGCGCCCCGTGCCGCAGCGCGGGCCCGGCCCGGCGGGGCGGGGCAGGCCCAGGCCGCGCACCCCATGCTGGACGCCTGGGCGGAGGTCGCGGGCGAGGGCGGCGGCCCTCCATGGCGGAGCTGGGGCGGCGCCTCCGCGGCGGAGCGCGCCGGCGACGGCCACGGCGGTGCCCTGGTGCGGCTGGGCCAGGCGGAGGGGCGAGCCGCCAAGAGCCTGGAGGCCAGCCAGGCCGCCATCGCCGTGCACCTCGAGGCCCTCTCCGAGCGGCTGGCGAGGGCGGAGGGCCAGCAGCGCCAGAGCTCCGCGGGCTGCCTCGACGGCGGCAGAGGAGGCTCCCCTGGCGAGGACGGGAGCTGCCAGCCGCGGGCGGAGGAGGAGGAGGAGGAGGAGGAGGAGAAGAAGGAGGAGGACAGAGAAGATGATGGCGCAGTGGATCCGGACCCTGACGAGCGGCAGCGGAGTTATGCCGAGCTCCTCGCTGTTCTGCAGAAGAACATGAACTGCGTCAGCGTGCACAACTGGAGCCTCTGCGCAGCCACCCGTGCGGGGTCGACTTGCGCCAGTGGGTGCTGCGCCCTGGTACCGTCGGTCGTGTTGTTGGTCGTGCAGTGTTTTGTGCTGCACGCCATGGGCTTCGAAGCATTGCACCCTACCTGCAGCAGCAACACAGACTGCCTAGCCGACATGTGGTGTGCGCCGAGCCACGGCCTATCGGGCCTCACCAGAACTCCTGGCATGTGCGACGACTGTGTGTGGGCCAGCAGGTTGGACAGCCAGGACTTCGACAGTCTCCCTTCTCGGTACGACGTCGATGCGTACGCTGCTCTTACCGCCGTTGACCTGGCAATTGACGAGACCTTATCGTCTGCTATCTCACATTGCGAAACGAGAGATAGTGACCCGGATCGCTGCGACTTCATCGTTGATTTCCACGAGCAGTTCACAGTGGGTGCTTACATCGTGCTCGTGACCACGATCTTCATCATGATAGCCTTTCTTATCAAGGACATGGATCGGCAGGTGCAGGTCGCAGAGGTGTTCGAGCACCGGATCACGAACGTGGCCACCACCTCTACGCTCACCAGGTTTCTCATCACCGGAACAGCTTCACTGATCCTCAACCTGAGGAGATTCGTATTGCCCGGGGTTGTGGTATATACGTACGCGGCTCTTGTGTTAGCTCCCACTCGAGACGTGTCGCTGCCAGTGTCTTACGTGCTCAACGGACTTGTCATCGGCTTCGTCTACAAAGTCGACGCTCTGCTTGCCGCGGCGTTCCTGCAAACGGCTGCGCAATCACTTGTCATTGAGGCTTTTGCTGACATGGAGGCTCACATGCGCGGGGGCGCGAAAGAACGCCTCTCGGGCGTTGTGCTGTTGGGTTTCCACCGCTTCGCGGCTATGATTTTTGCCATTCTCGTCTTGGGAATCATATCGGGCACAGAACATATGATGAGCTCCTTCAACTTGGATTGGGACGAATTTCCCACGAAATGGGTCGAGAACCCCTCGGGTAGATCGTGCACCAATGTCATGAACATGTTGTGTTCAGTTGCCGTGGTAACAGCTGCTTTCCTCGCGCTTGTCTGGAGTGTGACCCGCTACGCTGCGAACCCCGTGGAGCGGTGCGACCGCAGCGGGCTGTTCCTTTTGGTTGATGCGATCGTTTCGCCGGTCTCTGTGCTTGTGACCGTGCCAGTGGTTTCGCACATGTTCCGAAGGTTCGGACACGTGGCGATGGTGTGAGCAGGCGGCACGTCGCAGCTCGGCAGCCCGTGCCTCGATGTCGTGCAGGCGCACGGGGCCGCCGGAGCGGCCCTCGACGGTCAAAGGACCGCTTCCTTTTTAGGATCGAGAGCAGAAGAGCCTCTAACCCTAAATAACACGATGAAGACGTGGCCTCACTGAGGTCCCCGTCTTCGCACTGGGGATCATGATGGGGGGACGAAGAATGCCATAAACATAACAACTCGGAGTTCCGCGCGGATTTCTCGTATCCGCGCTGGACCCCCTTGGCGGCGCCTCCCGCGCCACCCCTGGCGCGCTCCGCGCGCCAGGGAGGGGGGTCCAGCGCGGATCCACGAAATCCGCGCGGACCTCAGAGTTTTTATGCTTATGCCATTTTTCGTTCCCGTGAATAGGTCTGGGCGGTTTGGTCCGACACATTTGCAGAACAAAACGGCCCCCTGTCCCTCATGTTTGCGGCCCTCCCAACTCATGGGTCCCCTCCCAAAAGGGTTTGGGATCTTCTTTGGTTAAACACTGCATGTTTCGAACGGTCTCTCCAGAAGGCTTGTTGTCCTCCCATCTCAGGTCCCTTCCCAAAAGGGTTAGGGGTCTTTTTGTTGGTTAACCGCTGCATTCTTCGAACGGTGGTCTCTCCTCTCGGTCGACGCGCGCCAGCTTCGATACGCCGGGCCCAGCGCGCCTTCTGTGCTGGGAGCCGCCGCGCCTGCTCGAATGCACAGATCTCGAATGTGCTGCTCGCACCAATGCCCGAAGGTAACGTCCTCCTATCCGCCAGAGGCGGTGAGGGGAGCTTCGTGTTGGTACTCTGGATGAGGCATTCGAAATCCCTTAATAACCGACCCCCTACTAAAAAACCAGACCCCCCCCTTCAACGGCTACCCAATTTTCTAGACCCCCTTGTCAACAGGGGGCCTTCATCTTCCTGACCCTCGTCTTCGGTTCAAAAAAAGCCCTAATTAACCGGACCCCCCACGCTTCCAAAAAAGACGCCTCAAAAAAGCGGACCCAGGGGACGATTATTCAAGGATTTCGAGTACAGTCGAGTTTGATCAGGAGGTCGACCCTGCCCAAACAAGGGTGCATCTGTGCCCTGTCTTTCGCGACCCATGCCCTCCATGTTCCACTGGCAGTGTGGCCGTCGGAAGGGCCCTGCGTCCTCCCGCGTGTCCTCGCCAATCCGCCCCGACTGTATTTGCCAAGGGGCGGTGGCGGGGGGGGGGGGGGAGATGGACCTTCCGACGCAGCACCGGGCCCGAGGGGGGGGGGGGGGGCTCCGCCGCTCCCGGGAGCAGGCCCCGAGCGGGGCCCTGCCTACGTTAAGATCCCGTAGGGAGGCCCGCGGAGTCCCCCGAGCGCGTGCTCGGACTGGTCGCAAGTCGGGAGTGTCCCTCTACGGGAGGGGTAGTCAAACATAGCCAAAAACATTGGTTTTGGGACGATGTTTTGACTTTTCATTGAGAATGTTTGAGTACGTTTGGCGCACTTTTTATTTTCCGCCCAGAATCCGCCTGTAGAGGGACATGCCCGACCTAAGAGTGGTCACATCTCCCCAAGCGCCCTGTTTTTTGGGGGCCCATGCCAGGAAACACCCTGCTTGCCTCCAGGGTGCCCTGTTTCTTTGGGGGGGATTCGATGGTTTCGCGATGGAAAGCGTAACGGTCCCGCACCAAAAATCCATGGACGCCCTGGGGTCTCAGGGTTGGGTTTCTTGTGGAAGGTTTCCTTTGGACGGGCCCATACTGTACTCTTCCTCCAAGCCCCTTCTCCACCCGCTCCGAAAGCAAGCAGGTGCCAGCCTTCCCGCGGATCCGGGTGGGGGGGGCGAGTCTTGTCCCCATCCAGGGTAGCCTGTCCCGCCGCGTCGCGCCTGCGTCGGCCGCCCTCGGTTTCCCTCCGTCGGCGGCGGCCAAGAGGGGGGCCAGTGATGATTAAGGGGTGGTGGATCTATAGATGCACACACTTATGTATATGTGTAGAATACATGTATACCGTACACACATCTATGTATACATACATACACAAACACATATATATATATATATATATATAGGTATTCCTCTTCCTATATTTTAAAAAGCCCATGCGGGGGAAAACCCGTCACCCCCCCCCAAAAACCGGACTCCCGGGACCTGGGGCTTTGGGGCCCTCCAGACGGGCTTTGAAGCGGCCACCGGGCCTCGCAAGGCGTTTTGCCAAGCCTTCCCAGCACACTTAGGGCGATCAGGGGGGTCATCGGAGACGGCCCAGAGACCCCCAAGACAGCACAAGAGCGCTCCAAGAGTGACCGACGTGACCTCAAGATGGCCCAAGAGGCCTCCAGGACGGCCCCAAAGAGGCCTCCAAGAGCACTCCCAAGAAGGCCCCCCGAGGCAAAAATCATTGATTTTCTATGGGTTCTTGGTGAATTGTGGGGTCCTCCTCTTTTCGGCTTCCCGACGCTCCAAGACGGCGGTCTTCTGGGCGTCCGAAGCCGCCTGGGAGGTTCCCAAATCGCCCTACAACCATCCGAAAGGGCTTCCAGGCAGCCCAAGAAAGCCCCAAAACGGCACAACACGGGTCCAAGATGGCCCTCAGAGAGCCCCGTGGCGGCCCAAGGTGGCCCAAAGACACCAGGGTGGCCCGAGGAACCCCCCGGGGGCCCCCAGAATACGCCCAGGAGGCCTCCAGAAGGCCTTAAGAAAGCCCGAAACAATTTTTGTGAGGCCCCTAGAGGCTCTCCAAGGAGGAGCCTCCGCAAAAAAGAGCTGAGGAGGATGGGGAGAATGCGCAGGGTATGGCGAAAATAAGGAACAATAGCCGTGGAGGAATGGTAACGAATAACGTCATTGTGGCGACGGTGCCGGGAAAAGGCAACCGGGAATTGTCGCTAAATTGTCGGCTTGGCCTTCCTGCCATTCCGCCTGCGCGCTGAGCTTCAAGGACCAAGATGCATGGCGCGAAGCGCCACTGCAGTCTTGTGTGTATATGTAACTATATGTGTGTGTCGTGGCCATGGACCATGGCCGTGATATCTTTTCGGATGATGTCATGACTTCCTTTCCATCTTTGAACACATCTCCTGGCCCACCCCCTTTGTCAGCGCACATACCTCGGCCATATAAATTAGCGAACCTCCCTCTTGGACGCCCCCCTCTTGGACGCCCCTGACTCTGCCGCGGGCACGCGTCATGAGTCAATGCGCTCAGATGGACTCCTCTCGATGCACGCTTGACTTGGTGATGTGCACTCACTTTGACCTCTAATTATATCTCCCTCTCTCTATCCCCCCTCCTCTATCTCTCTTGCTCCTCTGTCGTCATCATATGTTAATCTCATGCTAGGCATCATTGACGTGTGACTGAAACCGTCAGACGTGTCCCTACTGATAACGGGCGCCATCGCAATCAACAAACACCTGTGGTGTGCTCTACATGCAGGCTCTCACGTAAAGGTTGAACACCGAGCGGCTGTTCTAGAACCCATACAACAACAAAGGCGGAGTGGACTTCTCGTTCTCTGTCCAGCCAGCCCCCAAAGGCCCCATGAGGTGCTCCCACTCCAGCATTGGGATTTTCTCTAAACTCGACGCTTGTACCCAGTTCGCAGTATGTTGCTAGCTCGGCCTCTTGTGGGGCCTCTGAGGCAAATGGCTGCGGCGGCTTAGAAGCGCTATTGCAAATGGATGCGCCAAACTGTGTAGGCAACTATGTTTCCAGATGCTTGATTCAGAACAATCTACCCGACGCTCTCGCTCCACGCACCGCCACCTTCCAGCCTGCCCTGAGGGTTCCCACCCGAGGGCCGGAATCGGCCGCGCCTGGCCTGTCCCGTGAGAACACGGGCGGTGTGGGCCCCTTCCCCCGCTCTCTGTGGACGTCCCGTGCGCCCCGTGCCGTCCCACCAGGGCTCTCGCCAGGGCTCCCACCGGCCTGACACGTGAAGACACTCCCCCCCTCCCCTTGTGGCAAGGCTCCGGGTTGCGCACAGACTGCCCCCCCAAGGTAGTCCTGGCTGGCCCCCCGAGGAGTCCCAGCTGGCCTCAACAGGCCCCCCGAGCAGCTCGGGGTCTCGACACCCTGGCGCCGCCTCCTGCGGCGCCCCCGGGGCGCTCCTTCGCCCCCGGGTCGGGGTGTGGAGGCCGCCTCGGACCACTCGGGGGGCGTGTTGAGGACAGCTGGGGCTGTTCGAGGGGCCTCTTTGAGGCCAGCTGGGACTACCTTTTGGGGGGGCAGTCTGTGTGCAACCCGAAGCCTTGCCGCCCCCGTCCGGCTACCTCTGCACGGAGTGGTGGCCATCGTATGAGCGGGCATGCGCTTCACACGTTTGAACAGAAGATCTTCTTGTCGAGGCCACGGCCTCCACGCCATGCCTTGATGGGCACGGGCGAGCTCCCCAAAGGAGCACGCACGAGTCCGGCGTTCGTTCGTTCGTTCCTGCTGCCTCTGCGCTCGCTCTGGAGGCGGACGCTCCGGGATCGCTGGGGGGGGGGGGCACTAGACCCAGCGCCCCCCAGGCGAGGAGGAGGAGGAGGAGGAGGAGGAGGAGGAGGAGGAGAGGGAGGAGGAAGAGGAGGAGGAAGAGGAGGAGGAGGAGGAGGAGGAGGAGGAGGGAGGAAGAAGGCCTCCTCGCTTTTTTCTCCTTTTTTGTTTCTCTCTCTCTCTCGAGAGAGAGGGACAGAGAGGGAGAGAGAGAGAGAGGGGGGGACGGAGGCCGGGAGGCCAGGAGAGCGGAAGCCCGCGCGTTTGGCGGTATTGTTGCTGGCCGCCCGGTACCGGCGATTGGCGCTGGTAGCTATAGGATGCGAACGCCTTCCTCCTCCTCCTTCTCGCTTCCTCCTCCTGCTCCTCCTCCTCCTCCTCTGACTAGCTATGCCTATGAGTATGGCTAAGGTTGTGATGTGTTCGTTTACTGTGACGACGATCGCTGGAATGCGTAGTATTATGACTATTCTACGGTTGTTCGTGCTACGATGTGTTTTAACACTATGTTTATTACGATTGCTATTATTCTTATCAGTATTATTGCTACCACTACTACGACTACTAACGGTATGATTGTTGCTATCACGTTTCGCAACGACTGCTCTTGCCACTATTGATGATACGATTGTTGCTACTAGTATCAGAACACTGCCTTGCATACGACTACTACTACGACTTTTACTGCTACTTCTACTTCTACTACTTGTTCTGCTGCTACTACTACTACTACTACTACTTGTACTACTACTACTACTACTACTACTACTACTACTACTACTACTACTACTACTATGACTACTACTACTACTGCTACTGCTACTCCTACTGCTACTGCTACTGCTACTACTGTTACTACTGCTACTACTACGGCTACTACTACTACTACTACATCTACTACTACTACTACTACTACTACTACTACTACTACTACGACTACTACTACCACTGCTACTACTACTACTACTACTACTACTACTTCTACTACTACTACTACTACTACTACTACTACTACTACTACTACTACTACTACTACTACTACGACTACTTCTACACTATTACGACTACTACTACCACTACTACTACTACTACTACTACTACTACTACTACTACTACTACTAGCACTACTACTACTACTACTACTGCTACTACTACTTCTACTTCTACTACGACGACGACGACGACTACTACTACTACTACTACTTCTACTACTACTACTACTACTACTACTACTACTTCTTCTTCTACTACTACTACTACTACTACGACGACGACTACTACGACTACGACTACGACTACGACTACGACTACTACTACTACTACTACTACCACTACTACTACTACTACTACTACTACTACTATCTACTACTACTACTGCTACCACTACTATATACTACTATCTACTACTATCTACTACTATCTACTACTACTACTGCTACCACTACTATCTACTACTATCTACTACTATCTACTACTATCTACTACCATCTACTACTATCTGCTATCTACTATCTACTACTACTACTACTACTACTACTACTACCACCACTACTACTACTCTTACTACTACGACTACGACTACGACTACCACGATTACTACAACTCATATTATTATTGTGCTACCTGACTGACAACCTATCGACCTACGGACCTACCGACCTACCGACCTACCTACATACTACTGCGACCCCACTCGGGCCACAGATTTCGATCTTACAGAGTTTCGACGCACTTCGAGCTGGGCAGTCCGGAAAGAGTTCAGCCTCGCGGAAGGCTCCTTGGGCAAGCCGCATGCGCTTTAAGGCGTCAGGTGGTGAAGGCTCCTCCTCCACCTCCGGGCCGCAAGCCTGGCCAGGGCCCGCTGGCCGAAGCGACGGAACCCACGCCAGGAAGGAGAGGGTGGCACTCTGCCCGAGGTCATCTGGGGCCGCCCCTCGCACTTTCGTGACCGGCCGTGCCTCGGGGAACAGATCATGACCTGAGCAGCAATCGGCTACACGCGAGAGTGACCTTTCGCCGGAAGGACCTCTGATCGGCCACGCGCAGAAGGGGGGTAGGCTTCTTAGAAGCACCCCTGCTTCTTAGCAGGCGTGGGTCCTATTTGATAGATGTGGGGCCAGCGCCTTCTAAGAAGCCCCCTCCGTCTAAGAAGCCTTCCCCCCCTCCCCCTACCCTCTTGGGCGCGCCGCCAACTTTCGCCAGAGTGACCTCTGATGCACCGGAGGTCATTCTTGCTTAGGGACTCGTGCGTGTCGCCGAATCAATTTTCGGTTGTCCGCGCGGAGTACTTGGATCGGCGCTGGAGCCCCCTGCAGAGGACGACAATGCACCGATACCGCTACTTTTCCCTCGTTCTCGCCTTTTCGGACCTCCTGGGAGGCCCTCGTTGCCGCCGCTGGATTCGATGCGAAATCTTGGTCAGAACGCACTCCAGGAGAGGTCCTGGGACTAGCGCTATCGGTGCCTTTGGTTTCCCCACTGGCGGCGCCTCCGGCGTCGCCCCTGGCGCGCTCCGCGCACCAAGGCTCGCATACTGCCACACGGATTCGTGGTCGGTTCCGCGCGTGCAGCTTGGCTCCTAGTGCCCCGAGAGAGAAGAAATTGTGTTAACAGCACATGCGTGGTCTCCCTTCGTGCAAAGGTAACCTTCCTGACGTGTGCAGGCCAGGAACATGTCCACTAGACTATGTTTACCTACACGACCACCCTTCGGGTGATGAGGAGGTTGTGTGTGTGGGGGGGGGAATGAACGTCTGACTCAATCGATCTCACAATCGATCTCGCTATCGATCGCACTATCGATCTCACTGTCGATCTCACTGATCTCACTATCGATCTCACTATCGATCTCACTATCGATCTCACGATCGATTTCACGATCAATCTCACTCAACGGGACACCACGAGACACCACGGGACACCTGCCGATCTCACTATCGATCTCACGATCTGTATCATTATGGATCTCACTCTCAACGGGACATCACGGGACACCTGTCGATCTCACTATCGATCTTATCATCGATCTCACGATCGATATCGCTTTCGATCTCACTGTCAACGGGACACCACGGGACACCTGTCGATCTCACTATCGATCTCACTATCGATCTCACGATCGATATCACTATCGATCTCACTCTCAACGGGTCACCATTGGACACCACTGGATACCTGTCGATCTCACCATTGATCTCACTCAACGGGACACCACGGGACACTTGTCGATCTCACTATCGATCTCACTCAACGGGAGACCACAGGACATCACGGGACACCGCGGGACACCGCGAGCCCCCGCGAGCCACCGCCCGACGGACGGACGGACGGGCGGGCGGGGGAGAATCATTTGTCTTGACTTCGCCCTAGCAACGGCGGGACACCACGGGACGCCACGGGACACCACGGGACACCGCAGGACACCGCGAGCCACCGCGGGACGGGCGGGCGGGGGAGAATCATTTGTCTTGACTTCGCCCTAGCAACGGCGGGACACCACGGGACACCACGGGACACCGCGGGACACCGCGGGACACTGCGAGCCAACGCCGGACGGGCGGGCGGGGGAGAATCATTTGTCTTGACTTCGCCCTAGCAGCGGCGGGTTCATTCCTTTCGCGCGCCCACGCAGCCTCGCCTCGCCCGCACGCACGACTCGAACGAAACGAAAAGATTTCCCGGTTGGGGGTCTCCGTTCCACTGCGATCTCAACCCCCAACTTCCGATGTTTGTCCACCACTCAGTGGCAAAATGCGGCTCCAGCACTGCGTCGCTCAGCGAAC